ACCCGTGCGCAAGGGGAAGGGGTCTCCAGCCCACATCAGAAGGCTCCGGCAAAATAAACCCATTTGCTAACATGGGCTGTGCAGCCCTGAGAAAGTGGCCTCACCTCTCTGTGCCTCAGTTTCCAGGAAGGGAGGGAATGCAGGGTGGCAGCGAGACTTGATTAATGACTGTTTGTGAGAAGGTCCCAGAGATGCTGCTGATAACAGGCCCAGCTATTATTCTGGGAAGGCATCGAGGAGTGGCTGAGCCCATAATTACTGAGGATGAAAACACGAGGACCGAGGAGGCCTCGCCCAGCCCTGCTCCCAGCCCCCCACCCTCCCGCCCTCCTGCCCAGCAGGAGCCTATTCTGGGCACAGGACCCTGAAGGAGGAGCTGGGACCTGGCCTGGGCCTGGGCCTTCTGCACTTCCTGACCCCTAAATTCCTAAGCTACATCCACCCATCCATTTCCTGGCTCATCCATCTATTCATTCATTCATTCATTCCACAAGTGTTTATTGAGCACCTATTGTGTGCCAGGCAACCAGATATAGCAGAGAACAAGGCATGAGAGGGGGGATAGTAAACAGGAAAAATCCAGCAAGAAAGCAGAATGTTAAAAACAAATAAAAGTCACCAGGCCATGTGAAACGGAAGAATTGGGGGAACTTTCACTCAGGTGCCCAGAGGCAGCCACTCAGAAGAGGTGAGGTGAGGTTTGCTCTGCAAAGCAGAGGGTGAGATGAAGAGTGTTCCAGCAACAGGCAATGCCGGTGCAAAGGGCCTGGGGTAAGAAACTGGAATGTCGCAGGGGGCTGCCTAGAGGGCAAGAAGAGCAGAGTCACTGCCACATGGGGGTGCCAGGTCGGCAAGGCCTCTGGGCTGCAGCGAGGACCCGCATTGCCTCCTCAGGACCAAGGGCAGCAGGGGAGGAAGGAAGGGAAGACCCTCCCCTGGTGTCCACACCACACACGCTGCATAGCACACGCTGACCTGAAATTCCTGGGCTGGGGCTGGGGCTCGACCGGAGTGGCCCTGCCAGGGACAGTGAGGCCCAGGCTCCATCCCCAGCCGTGCAGAAGAAGGGAAGGAGAAGATGAGGAAGAAGAAATAACCACAGTGGCAGGAGCTCCTAGGAGCGCTCACCCAGCCAGTGTGCAGGCCACTTTCCCCTCGGGGCTCAGGTCCAGCTCCACGGCCGTGGCCGCAGACCTCGGTTTCCTCTTCTGAGAAAGGCGTTGGTGGCCCTTCTGCCTGTGAAGCGGATGGGTGCCCTCTCCTCAGACAGTGAGCGGGACGCAAACCCCGGGCAACTCACTGAGTAGGAGCTGCCTGAGGCCCTGCTGGATGCAGGGCTAGGGCAGCCTGCAGCAGCCCCTGTCGTGAGAGCTGGATGAGAATATGGAGCTCCTGAGGCCTCTGATGCCTGAGTCCGGATCCCTGCTCTGCCCCCAAGAGCTGCGTGCCTTGGGCAAACGTCTCAGCCTTTCTGGGCCTCAGTTTCCTCATCGATGAAATCCGATCAACACCTCCTACATGAAGTTGTCAGGATTAAATTAAGACACAGGAGGCAGGAAGAGGAGGCCCGGCCCAGAGCTCGCACTCGGTTCCTCGGAGCGCGGATTTCCGGAATCCCTCTTTGAGCGTCCCACCCCACTGGCCCCGCTGTCCGCCAGGGCTGGGTTTTTCTGCCCGGTCCCCACTCCAGTTCATCTCCCCTCTCGGTTCTGCTCCCCTTTGGCAGCAGAAGGATGGTTCCAATCACGCGTCCCCTCCGTGCAACCCTGCAGGGACCCCGCTGCCCAGGACACCGTCCGCCCCAGGGTCTGAGCGCCCCCGGCCTCCTGACTCCTGTCTCATCCCCCACTCCGGGGCCGGAGCAAGGCCCACCCCTCTGCATTCCCACCGCGCTGCCCCTGCACCTTGCGCACGCTGTGCCTCGTGCCTGAATCCCGCCCCCATGGGTGTCACCAGGGCTCCCCAGGGCTGCCCTGCGCTGCTCCCGATGCAGCACCAGCTGGACGGACCCTCAGAGGTTCCGCTAGGCAGGACACTGGGCTCAGACAGGAAGCTCTCTCCTCCACAGCCCCGGAGGGTGTCAGGGGAGGGCAGGGTCTGAGGTGAGCTCAGGGGGAGGTGGGGTCGGGTTGGGGTGCCGGGGCAGGCGCATCGAGTGAGGCTGAGCTTAGGTGACAAGGTGAGTTGAGGAGATCGGGTGGAGCCGCCGAGTGGCGCAGCGGATGGGGCAGGCCTGACTGGAGCTGGGTGGAAGTGGGTGGAATCAGGCAAGTTGAGGTGAGGTGAATCAAGGTGAAGGAAGCTGAGGGGAGGCGAGAGGGGAGCAGAGCTTCACCGGGCTGAGGTGCGTTTCGCACCGACGCGAGCTGTGAGCCACGCGGGCCGAGGGCACAGAGCCAAAGTCCTGCGCGGTAAAAGCGCAGTCAGCTGGTGCACAGAAGCAAGGCGGAGGCGGAGCCGAGTTAAACCTCCGTCCGTGACTGCACCTCGTTGGGTCGAGTTGAGGATTTGATCAAGTCAAGGTGAGTTTCACATGGAATCAAACTGAGAGAGACCCGTATTCCCGGAGCTGGCGACACAGCCCTGTGGCAGCAGGAGCCAGGCCCTGGGTTCAACTCCCATATCACAAAAACAGAAAAAGCCAGTGTTCCTCTAGGTTTTTATTGCCCCCTCCAGAGGATTTTTAAACATTTTTTCCTAATTACCCCCTATGAAACATTAGAGCCACAGAGAGGCAGTTTACCCGATTGTATTTTCTGTGAATGTCTTTGCCTTACACAGAAAGAGACCAACAGAGTCACTTTCCACCCCCGTGGTGTGACATCACACATACACACATACACACGCACACACACAATTGCCCTTGAGGGCAGTAAGTGAGGCTGCCCTGAGCGAGGGTTTGGGCTCCTCCTAGACAGAAACCTATTCCACCTTCCTGGAGGAAGGAGTCTCTGACCAGGGCTGTGGCAAGGCAAGGCGCACCTTGGTTCCAATTCTGGTCCTTTCTCCCGTCCCCTCTTGTCCCCTGTGACACAGAAACATAAAAATGGACCAGCAAACACATAGCCCCAGGGCAGGTATGAGCATGTCAGCGGGCTAAGTCTAGCCAACGGAGGCCCATGGGGCTGGAGGAGCCAGGAGAGGGGGCTAGAGGAGGGAAGGACAACCAGGCTCCATCGTGTCGAACCTTGGGGGACTTGGAGATGCTTTTGGGTGTCGTCATGAGGACAACAGGGAGCTATGGGAGCGTTCTGAGCAGGCGAGGGACACACCAGAAGGGAAAGTCCAGGATGGTGCACCCGATTGCCCAAGCCGAGTCATATGCCTGTGCTCTAGCTGCAAGGGAGGCAGCACAGAGGCTCATATTCTCAGCCACCTTTGTGAGAGGCAGGATATCTGCTCCATACAGCGGAGAACCCTGCACACACAAGAAGGAATTTCAAAGGCTGGACAGTTGGGAAAATATCCCCAAGTGCAAAATATTAGGCTGAATGCTGCAGGGCTGGCTGTGTGAAGGGAGAAAGACATAGCTTGGGCCTGGTGAGGCTGCACTACCCAAAGACACCCATGCCAGCCCCACACAAGCAAAGCCCCTCCCAGGTACCCAGTCTGGACAGGGCCCTAGAACCTCACACCAAGATTTGCTATTTTTCCTGCACATGCTGCTTGCTTCCTTCAGTCACTAAAGGCTATCCTGGGGCTCTCAGGGACACCCTCGATCCGATATGTGCATCCAAGGTCCCTCTTTTGGAGGACAGGTCCAAGACCTAAGCAGCCCCAGATGTTCTCTAGCCAGGTGGCTAGTTACTTCACCTCTCTGAGCCTGTTCCTTCACCGTGTGAAGGTTAAACCATCCCCACCTCACCTCCTCCCCACCTGGGATGTTAGGATGACCTCACCTTGGTCATCACAAAGATCCCAGTGACCAAGCACCACACTGGGTACTTCCACCCCGCAGTCCTACCCAGTCCCACTGTGGCTCGCAGCAGAGCCAGGACTCAGGCTCAGGTCAGCCGACACGTGAGCCCAACTCTTCACCATCAGGCCACAGGGCCCGTGGGCACCACGACCCCCTAACGCCTCCTGTGTGCCGAGCACCGTGCTGGGCACTCGATGCTGACACACGTGGGTCGCCCTCACTGCTGACCTCCGGAAACACACAGCTCCGTGCCAGGAGAGGAGACCGGGTCCCAGGCAGTGCGGCCGCCAGAGGGCATGGGGAGAGGGGAAGCCAAGGTCACACCCATGTGTACCCGAAGCTCAGATGCCTGTGCTTCCCACCACGCGGGCTGTCAGAAGGTGTAGTGGCTGTCGCACCCTCAGCAGGGGTCCCTTCATCTGCATCAGTCCCCTTGGTGTCCGCACAGCCTGTAAAGGGGCTTTGATATCAGTCTCGTGCTCCAAATGAGGAAACTGAGGCTGAGAGGGACGTGAGCTGGAGCCCGCTCACACAGAGGGAAAGGGCAGAGCAGCAACAAGCCCAGGTGAGCCAGGCCGGTGAAGAGCCACCCTCCTGCTCCGTGCCGCCTCCCCCGTGAGGAGCCCAAGGCCCCACCTCCGCCACCCTGGCCGCACGCGCAGCCCCTCAGCACCCACGGGTCTTCGCACCCGCTGCAGGCGCCAGCCTTCCAGGGAGCTTTAGTGGGACCTGCCCTGGTCCCCCAGCCGTGTGCCCCCTGCAAGGGGACCCAGGACAGAGCTCGCCTGCCCCTTGATGATCCATTAGACCCTCAGCCATGACAGGTCCCCAGCCCTGGCCTTGTGCCCGGTGACCTCAGTCTGCACGGGGAAGGTGGTAGGGACGGGGAAGCAGCGGCGTGGGGTGATGGGGTCCCCCTCTGCCCCTGCTCCCCAAAGGCAGCTTTGGCAATCAGAGGAGGCGGTGGTTTTACCAAGAAAAGGAGGAAGAAAGCACAGGCAGAGGGCAAGACACACATGGTGTGGGTGAATCAACACCAAGTGGGTGACAGAAGCCGCTGGAAGGGACGCTCAGGAGCTGCCAGCTGAGAGGGGTTAAGAGCCGAGAGGGGCTCCCCTTCCAGGGGAGCACCTGGAAGGACCTCAGCTGGGAGGAGGGTGTGGGTGTTGCAAGCACCTTGTGCCAGCTCAGGTCTCCTTGGCTCCACCCAGCAGCCCTGCGAGGCAGGCATCCACATCCGCAGGTAAAGAGACAGACACTGAGGACCAGAAAGGCAAAGCATCTTACCCCGGGTCACACAGCACATACAGCTGGCATTTGAACCAATGTTGATGGCTCAGAGAAAGGGTTAAGAGCACAGACTTTATGGTCAGACCTGGTTTCTAACCCAGGCTCCCCAACTTGGAACCACGTGCCCTTGAGCATGTTACTGTCCCTCAGGCCTTAGTTTCTCTGTGTATGACAGGCATAGCAGTACACAGACCTCACAGATAGCTGCATGGAATCTGTAGCCAGCTCAGAGACCGTGTCAACCCAGACGGGGCTACCATGGGGTTAGGAGTGCAGGCCCTGCATGTACGCTCCTTTGCTGGGGCACTGCTCCCTTAGAGAACAGAGTTTCCAGCTGTAAAACTTCTCTTTAATTTGAACTAAACAAACTGCCTTTCCTGGGATCATCCCAGCCTGGCCTTGGGAGATCTCTCTGCCCTCTACGATGGAACAAAGCCACGACCTCGTGGAGAGCATTCAGTCACTTGGAAAACATGTGCTTCGGTCCTACTGTGTGCCTAGCCGTGGTCCAGACACTGGGACACAGAAGTAAACAAAACTCACGAGGTCCCTCCTGTCGCAGGGCTGATATTCTGCAGGGAGGAGACGGACATTGAAAATGGGAACGCCTAAAAAATGCAACCACTGGATAATCATTTGTTTGGGAAATCTCAATCCCAGATGCATCCAAATAACAGAGAACAGTCAGAATAGATTTCCCTGATTATCCATTCTTTAAATGATGTCGTTATATAAGTCGGATGATTTTCCTTCCCCCTCAAAGCCCTCCCAGGCTCCCGCTGTCTTCGGGATCCATGGAAAATGCCTTCACCCAGCCACCCGCGCTGTGTGGCCTGGGTCCCGTGCACCTGTCTGGCCTCCACGCCGCCTGTGTGGCCTCCTCATTGTTCCTTGGATGTGCCCAGGCCCCGGCTGTCAGGGCCACACCACACGAGGGAACCCACCTGAAGGCCCCCTCTCGTCCTCCTCAGGACGGTCCCATCCAGGCCCCTGCAACTATCAACTTGGCTCTGCTGGCCTCCTTCCCCAGTCCCTGCAAAGATCCACACAAAACGGAAAGAAAAATAGCTAGGAAAGAACATGAATCACTTGTTTACAGGCGCTAATTAATTACTAAGCTCAAAAACTTGATTTCCAGTCTTCCCTTTTTCCCCTCTCTGCCCTTTGAGAATGTTTGGAATCCACATTGTTTCCCAATGCAAAAGTATGTCAGGGTTATTTTTAGCAGATGCGCATGATGGCTGAGACTGTTATTCACTCCCCTCCCGCGTCAGAGGGGAGCCAGCGGCGGAGTGTGCGGGCTGCTCCGTGTGCTTCAGATGTGGCTCCCTGGAGCCCAGCTGCTCAGCCATGTCCCTTTGGGGTCAGTGTGACCCAAGCTGGGGCCAGTGCTGAGGAGGGGCGGGTGATCCATCCAGGCTGCAGTTCTTCCTCCAGACCAGGGGCGGCGCTGTGGAGTGCAGAGGCAAACCGTGAAGACATTTGTCCCAGGCGGACTGAGCAAAGTCTCCTTTCTGGATAGCAAGTGGACAGCGTGGGTATTTCAGCATCTTGACCCAGTGCAGCGTCTCTTAGAAGAGGAGGCCTGGGGAGAAGCCTCCAACCAGGATGGGAGAGGCCTCGCGCTCTGTCCTGCTGAAGCCGCAAAGCCCCCTCTGCTCACCTCTGCCTCCACATCTCACTCCCGGCCCGCCCTGTCAGGCCTCGCTGGGAGCCAGGCTGAGGGGCAGGGACACCACTGACGTGGGAACTCTTGTATTCCTTCCAGCACAGCTGTTTCCAAGCCCTTAAACCTTTGGGAATCCATTTCCATCCAGATGGGGCCCGGCAGCTACGGGAATCAGCCTCTGGCCTCCTCGGGGCATCAGAAAGGAGTTGTCTCTAGCAGGCACTTGCCCAGCCATGGAGTGCTGTGGAGCCGGAGGCCGTCAGCCCGGGAGGGCAGGCACTCTGTCTGCCACGGCCTATCTCTGTCCCCCGCGCTCGGCATCCAGGGTGCCGGGTAATTTGTTGAACGACTGTGACCTGAGCTCTAGGCTTGCTGTGTGGCACCGGTGAGGTCACTTGCCTGTTCTGAGCCTTGCCCTCCCATCTCACAAATGGCTAGTTGAACTCAGCAGGCACCAGGCAGGGGCATTAAAGTAAAACAATGGCAGGCGACTGTGATCAAGTCCCGCCTGTGGGGACAGCTGCCCCTCAGCCCCAGCACTCAGGACAGGGAGCCCAAGGCTCCTGCATTTTCCCATTCCTCAAGAGAAGCCAGAAACCTGGATATTTGTTTACAACATCCTGATTTCCGGGGTTGGCCATGCATTTTAACTTTCAGCCAAAGCGCCCTACACACCAAATCCAAGCTATCTCAAGCCTGGCTTGGCCCAGGGGCCGCCAGCGGGAGCCCTCGGTGGCTGTGTTTGTGGCTCACCAGGCTGTAGAGGCCTGGGACAGGGTCCTGGGATGGGGCAGGCAGCGCCTGCCTCGCCCCGTGTGGGAGTAGCTATTATCCCGGCTTAGGGAGGGCTGGGCAGGACTCGTCGGAGCGGAGCGGGGCTGTGGGCCTGGCCAGCAGAGCTTTGCTTTCCACTTAATTAAGGAAGCCGATAAGAATCTAGGCGGAGCGTGGAGATAGGTGGAGAATGAGTTAGCAAACTGTGGCCGGCTGATTGTATCTATTGTCAAAAGCCCAGATATAATATCAGATTAGTACACTTTGTGTGCCTATTATAACACCGTGTCATTATGGGCCGTGTCGTCATGAAGGCGGACGGCCCCCTCTGCCCCTGACTGTGCAGGTCCAGGCACAGTGCCTCAGCCTCACTCCCTCTCAAGCACGACGGGCCCCACACCTTGAGCAGGCCTCACTGGACGCATCCGCAGGGGGCCAGGCCCTGCACGGCCCCTAAGGGACAGCAGCGAGGCCGGGCCAGGCGAGGCCCTGTCCCGCTGAGCTCGTGGTCAGTCAGGGGAGGAAGGTTGACAATAAATCCGGAAACAAACAAAACAAGTTGAGGCTGGGGGAAGTGAGGAGGGAGCGGGGCAGCGGGAGTGGGTGGGGCTGGCAGCGCGGCTGCGTGCGGCAGGGACACCAGGGAGGCTGTGTCCACCTGCGCCTGAAGGAGGGTAGAGGCTGCTCAGGGCTCCGTCCTCAAGCAGCAGCCAGGACAGGGGATTTGTGATGTTTGCGGAGGGTGATGGTGGCCGACGGCCACTCCTCCTGTCTCTCCAGACACAGATTCAACAGATCCCTGTGGAAGGCCCAGTGCAGGATGTCCAGGGAGTGCCACAAACAAAACAGACCACAGTCCCCACGTCCCCAAGATGATATTCGAAGCAGGGAGAGGGACAGTAAATAAATTTAAAAGCAATGCATAGCTGGGCATGGTAGTGCGCGCCTGTAATCCCAGCACACAGGAGGCTGAGGCAGGAGGATTGCCTTGAGTTTGAGCCTAGCCTGAGCTACATAGTGAGTTCAAGGCCAGCCTGGACTATGTAGTGAGACATGTGTCAAAGTAAAATAAAATAAATAAAATAAAATAGAAGTATAATATGATGGCTAGAGTGATGATGGAAGTGACACTTTAGCAGGGAGACATCAGACACTTCTCAGAAGGGGTGACGTTGAAATGACATTGAATAGTGGCAAACCCAGATGTGTGAAAGAGCTCATCCAGGGAGCAGCAAAAGCAAGTTCAAAGGCCCTGGGGTTCCATCAGGCTGGTATGTCAGGCAATAGCACAGAGCCTAGGGTGGCTGGAGCAAAGGGAGCGAGGGAGACAGAATGATACGGAAGGCCGGAAGGGCCATCAGACCCAGACAGGAGGCCTTAAAGGGCTTTGAGTTTCCTCTGAGGCAGGGGAAAAGTTCTAGACAGCAGAGGGATGGAATCTGACTCAGATCCTAAGAGGATCTGCGTAAGGGCAGTGGGCAGGGACAGTGGGAGCCATAAGACCAGCGGGGAGGCTCCCACGGCGGTCCAGGTGGGAGAGAGGCTGGGAGCCGGGAGGGAACCCGGACGTGGAAGCGGAGGAGAACCCTGGCTGGAACGAGGATTTGTTCTACAGGGAGTGCTGGCAGATCTCCTTCCCGTGACTCGATGTAGGGCAGCAGATGCGTCAAGGGACAACCAGAGATCGGCCGAGCACCTGTCAGGATGTGGCTGCCACTTCCCGAAAGCCGCAGGCTCTGGGGGACCTGCACTAGGGGCTGCCCTCTGCACCCCCTGGAAGTCCCTGCCAACCCCAGCTGGTCTCTTCTGGTCAAGGCCAAGCAAGGGGAATGAGGATTCGGCCCCACCCAGGCCTCCAGGCAGGAAAGGGGCGCCCAGGGCCTGGCCGCAGGATGACACAACACTTAATAATTTCTCCGCTGTGTTTTGCAATGGATTCCCTTTATCGACGGGCAAAGGGAGAAGGGTTTTGCAATTGCTGCAACGGGTGATCATGGCTAATGCTGCGCCACTTCCTACCCGTGAGGACTGAGTCCCAAGCAGGCCTCCAAGGTGGCGCACGGGCGTTGAATCTCAGCTCCTCCACTTGGCTGGTGACCTGGGGCAAGTCGCTGCCCGTCTCTGGACCTCGGCTGGTTCTCTGCAGAAAGGAGAGCAATTAAAGGAATCATTTTAAAATCATTTCAAAACTGGTACCCAACACCCCAGTTAGTGCTTACGGAGCACGTACTGCATACCTGGCCTAGGCCAAGCATCCCCCATGCCTCATCTCAGTTAATCAGCCCTTAAACTCTCATTTCCCCATTTCACAAATGGGGAAACTGAGGCTTAGAAGGAAGAACATGACTGCTCAGGTCCCCTAGCCTGTCAGTGGAGAAAGGACTTGGACCCAGGACCGTCCCACGAAGCCCTACCCCTGCTGGCAGGAAGGTCCCGGGCTCTGAGGTGGCATCCTCATCTGGAACTGTAAATGACAAGATGGAGGGATCAGGGCGCCTGGCGAGCACGCAGACCCCGATGGCTGTGACCGTGAGCAGAAGGCTGCCGTCAGCACTCAGGGCCGTGGTCAGCGCATGGCTGTCCCAGCTTCCCCTCCTCCCGCTGCCCAGCCCCGCGGGGCACACACAGGACAAAGGCTTTAGAATCCCCCTTCCACTGCCTGCTGTGACCCCGCGTATGTGCCTCCCCCACCCCTGGGGGCCATTCTCACCCTCCGCAAGACATTTATAGGTCTCAGAAGGCCTGGGCCCGCGGCAGCCCAGGGTGCAGGGCTCCTCAAGACAGTCTTGAGAGAGCGGCTTCTTCACCCCACTTGACAGATGGGAAGACCAAAGCGCAGGCCGGAAAGGGACACATGTTGGGCTTTCAGACGGACACTGGGCCCGGCCGCCATGCTCACCCAAGAGGGCACCTGGCGGCCCAAGGCCCAGATACAGAGGCTTTTCCCGCAAAGCCCGTGCTGTCTCCATCTCTCAGCCTCTCTGTCTCTCCCCTGTGTCTCTCTGTCTCTGTCTTTCTGGGCTTTGTCTCCCCCTTTCCTTGTCTCTCAGTGTGTATGTCTCTGGCCTCCTCTCCCCAGTCGCGGCCCGCCCGCCTCTCCATTCCTGGCTCTCTAAATATTGACTGAGGTGGAGGTGTCTCGCCGCCTAATTTACCTGAATCCCTGGCCCTGCCCGGCCTCCTGCTCACACCCACCACTCGGGGGTTCCCAGAAAAGGGGGACAGGAGGGGCGTCCACAGCCCCAGGACCTGAAAAGTGCCCCTACTCCGGGGTTCCCCTCGGTGGGAGAGGGCGGACTCTGCCCGTGTCTTCCGTGACTTAAGCCACTCACCCCAAGCCACACGTGTCCCTCTGTCCCCAGGGAACAGTTGGCAGAAGTCACAATGGGATGCATACGTGGCCTGTGAGACTGAGAGGTCTTCCCAAGGGCTCCCAGGATCCACTGCTTCGTTCCTTAGGGGACATGTGAGGGAATGAAGCCTTGGCCTTGATGGTACAAGGGAGAAAGGACAAAGGTTTCAGCAGCCATCGTGGGCCTTTGAGGAGCGGGGCTGGGAGCAGACAGCAGAACCAAGACACGGGAAAACCAAGGGCCGTGATGGTACCCAGCCAGGTACCCCCGCCCCAACCTCCAACTCGCCGGTATTTACTGGACCCCTTTGTGCCAAACCCTGCGACTCCCACTGGCAACACAGCAGGGTTGGCGTGATCCTGCCTCATGTTCCAGCCCGAGGGGCCGATGTCAGCCTGCTGAGCATCCCAGCCAGTGTGAAATGCGGCCACAGCGAGGCCCGCAGGACAGGCCGACAAGCCCGGCAAGGGAACGGGGAGGTGGGAGGCTTCGTCCTAGCTCCGGGTGCCCACAGCAGAGGCTCCAGCAGGACGCGACCCCCAGGACATGCTTGGGAAGGGAGAGGAAAGCAGGCTGGGCACAGCCCCCACACTTCTGGGCCGCGACCCCGCTTCGGAGGCTCTGCAGGACCTCGGGAGCAGACCGCAGTGCAGACAGAGCTGCCTGGAGCCCAGGGCGGAGCTTCTGTCCCCGACGTCAGTACCCACCGTGTCCACCTCTGCAGGCAGGGCAGGCAGGGCAGGCCTTCCAGGCAACAGGCTCCTATTCTTCCGGAAAGAGCTCCAGCTGGGAGCTCAGAAGAACCAGTGGGGCAGCTGGGAGGCGGGCACAGGGTCCAGGGAAGAGCACTGGGGGAGTCCCTGAAGAACTCACTAAGGCGTCTTCTGATCCAAGACCCGGGCATCCAAGACCGGATGGGAGAAGAAAGCATTCCAGTAGAGGAAGCAGCAGGTGCAAAGGCCCTGAGATGCAGGAAGAAGGAGGAGAAGGCAGGAGAGGAAGAGGACGAAGAGGAGAAAGGAGGAAAGAAGATGGAGAAGGAAGAAAGAGGAGTGGAGGAAGAAAAAGAAAGAGAGGGGAAAGGAGAAGGGAGAGGAGAGGAGAGGAGAGGAGAGGAGAGGAGGAGAGGGGGGAGGGCAGAGGGGTCAGCCACGATGCAGCACCAGCAAGCCACGAGGCGGTGACTCTTTATTCTGGGGGCAGCGGGAGTCGCAGGAGGCGATGGAGCGGCGGGGTGTTCCCAAGGCTGTCTGGCAGCACAGGGGGAGCAGCTGCAGTGCTGAGCCTGTAGCAGGAGCCCCGCTGGAGGCTGTGGCTCGCCTCCACGAGTCACTCGCGCCTGCGCAGTGCTGGGTTAGGAAGCAGAGGGAAGGGAGTCGGCAAGGCCGGCGCTTAGGAAGGGACGCCGGAGGCAGTACCACGGCGGCCCCGTGAGCACGTCCCAGGGAGTAGAAATGTTTATTGTCCCTGCTTCACAACAAGGAAGCTGAGGCACGGTGGGATCAGTGCCCTAGAAATGGCCCAAGCCCTCACCTGCTGCCTGCCTCGGTGCCTCCAGGCGCCTGTAACCCTCAGGTGTTCAGGGACCTGGGGTAGGTGCGTCTCCCTGGACCCTTCCCCACTCGCGCTGGGGACACAGGGAGTCCTGTCCTGTGCCTCCAGCCACTGTCTCCGCCTCCCTGAAAAGGCAGTGCTGTTACTACTCCACCCCAAACCCTGTTTCCAGCCCGTGGCCCCGGCACTGGCACGTGGGGCTGAGGCAAAGCCACCTCCGGCCTGTGCTGTTTCTGGCAGGAGGCAGAGGCACAGGGGCCACCTGGGGCCCCTGATAGGGTGGCCAGCCAGGAGATAGTCACAACCAGATTCCGGCTGGTGATTCTTCATTACAACACCACGGGCAGGGAGCCTGTGGGGTCTGAAGATGCACAAGGGGTGGGGGAGGTCTTCTGGGACCGGGAGGGAGGGAGGGAGAGGGCACCTAGGAGTGAAAAGCACAGACCACCTCCTGGATGGCCAGCAGGGCGCTGGTACATGATTTCCCTGTGCAGGTCCCTGGTCAGAGCAGGAGGCCAGCATAGGTGAGGAATGCAGTTAGGGGAACCGAGTGCAGAGCTTGGAGGACAGGGGCAGGAGGCTAGCAGGTCAGCATCAAGGGCCTCCCTGTGAGATGCCTTTGAGCTGAGGCTGAAGGATACATGAGGAGGGGGTGGAAAAGAATATGTCTGGGGCGTTTGCACAGCACATGAAAAGGTCCTGAGGCAGGCCACATGTAGAATGTTCACAAAACAGAAATCTGCCAAGGGAGAGGGTGGGAAGGGAGGGCAGAGCCATGGGGCTGGAGACAAAGCACATCACCAGGCCCTCTAGGCTGAGCTAAGGAGCTTGGATTTTAGTTAAGGTCCATGGGGAGCCATAAAAGGCTTTAGGCAGGGATCAGGGCAGAGGTAACCAGAATGGAGCCCAGCAGCTCACTTTGGTTGCTATGCCACATGGCCTGGAGGGACCTGAGTGACTGCAGGTTCTGAGACCTGCAGGTCGGGCTTCCTAGGCCTTCCTGCTTCCAATCAGAAGAGTTCTGGGAGTCACAGCTTTCCAGGCCAATCCTAGGCACCCTCATGGCCTTGCTGCCCCCCACCTAGACCTCCCAGGGAACATTCCAGGCTGCGATTATCTCAGTGCTGAGCACTAATTAGCTAGGTTTCACTTGAGCCCTCCCAGCTCTGCTAGGAGAGGGGCCCCTGGACAGGCCCTGCCAGGTCCCCACCCCCAGGGAGGCCTGGAAGGGTAAGACACAGGGCTCACACTGATTCTGGAAGCACTCAGACCCAGTTAGAATGGGGTGAAGCCTGGGCAGATTCTCCAGTACCCCAAGTCCTACTCCCTCCCTGGGGCACCTCCTGCCTGGGGAGAGCCGCCCGATCGTGCCACCACCACCCCCAGCTCCTGTACCCCTTCCTCCCAGCAGCATCTGACTGTCCCTTCCTGTTCACTGTCCCTCCACCTCCCCGTCTCTGTCTCTGCCCCCAGCCGCTCTCTCCTCCCCCTGTTCCCAGGGACCTGAACCCAGGCAGGGGTGCTCTTCCGGTCCAGCCCCAGAGGGATGTGCAGGCCACTTTACACCTGCCGGTCCTTCCTGCTCCGCTCTGCCTTGGACCGCACCTCCCTGCCCCTACTGCAGCCCTGGGCCAGCTGGGACTGCTTGGAAGGTGACCCTGACCAGCAGCCTCCTGGGAATCAGAAGCACAAGCAGGAGCAGCAGGCCAGGACCTCCACGCCACCCAGTGCCAAACTGGGAACATTATGGCCCCGTTTGCTCCTGGGGAGATAGCCGAAGTCAGAACTCGACGCCAGGACTCAGGCAGGGACTCAGACCTAAGTCCGTACAGGGGGTCTCCCTTCTGCCCCAGCCCCCAGGTCCTTCTGCAGAGGCTGCCTGGCCTCAGCTGCTGGAGAGGTCCAGAAACGTCCATGTGCCCCTCGTTTCTCTAGTTTTTTGTTTTTTCTGTACTGGGGATCGAGCACAGGGTCTTCTCATCGAGCTACATCCCCAGACGTAACATCCTATTTCTGTTTTTTATTTTAAAACAGGGTCTCACTCAGTCATTAAGTTGTCCAAGCTGGGCTCCAGCTCAAAATTCCCCTGCCTCAGCCTCCCAGAGTGCTGGGAATACAGGCACGCACCACCGTGCCCAGCTCGTTTCTTTTCTGTGTTTCTTAGCACAGCAGAGGAACAATGGGCACTTTGTGCACACCTGCTTTTCCCCTAGTGAGGTAGGTCGGGTGATCTTGTTTTATCAGGACCTTTTCCCTTATTCCTATTTCCCTGTCGTCCTCAGGAAGGGAGCAGCCTCCACACACCTCATCGGCCCGTTCCTTCAGCCCAGTGGTTTCCAGGCTCTGTGTGGATGCTCAGCTGCCGCCAGGCTCGGCACGCAGGCGCGTGTGCACACACACCCTCGAGGCTGGGAGCTGTGGGCGGAGGCGCTGGGAGGTGGGACTGAGTCTCCCCGGGTTGGAATCAATGCACGGGTACCTGAGCTAGAACTTCAGGCTTCCGCCCCCGTTCCGAACCACGCCAGGCAGAAGCCCCCTGGGGAGCTGTGGCCACCCTGGGGAAGGCAGCGGGGGCAGAAATGGGCAGGGGCCGGCTGGGCGTGGGCACCCCAGGGACACAACTGGGGCTTCTCCCGTCTCCTCCAGGAGCCCCTGCCCTCTGCGCATGTGGGGAAAGTGTGCGGGAACGAAAAGAATCCACCCTCTAAAATAAAAGCAGTAATGCTTGTGGAAAACCACAGGATGGGGAAACTGAGGCAAAGAGAGGCCATGGCGAGCAGCCCCAGTGTAAAGGGACCACCAGAAAGGACCAGGCAGAAGCTGGGATCTGAGAGGCACACGCCTCCTGCCCTCCTAGGAAACCCACTGGGGCCTCTCTCCCCAGGCCCTGCCAGCTCCACCCCCCAGCCTCCCAGCCTGTCCTGTAGGGTGGGGGTCTCCTCCCTCCCAGCCATCCAGAAGCACTGAGCCCTCCATGGGGGAGCATGCTGGGGGGAGTCAGACTGTATCCCCCTTACCACCCCACTTCCTGATTTCCTTTCCTACTCCTCTCCCCCCAGGAGCAATAGCCCCCCTTGCCCTTCCTGCCTCAGGGCCTTTGCACTAGCTGTTCCCTCCTTCCCCAGACACTTCAGGGCCCGCCTGCCCCTTCCTCAGGTTTTGTCCTTGAATATCCCTGACCTCTGCAGTTGGAAGCAGGTAACCCCCCCATCACCCCACCTACTGGATCCCACCAGGACACTGTGGGCTCCATGAAGACAGATGTCTGCACTGTGGCTTTCTACTGCATTCCCCAGCTTAGGGCAGTCCCTGGCACACAGTAGGTGCTCGGGCCTGTCACTGCTGGGTACTGACTGCAGTCTTCTGCATGCCAGGCTCTGGCTGCAGACCCAGCAGAGAAGGAAATGAAAGCATCAGACAGGGCCATGAGGCCCAGGGCTGGGTCTCACCAGCCCTTGCCAGGTTCGGACCTCAGGAAGACTCTGGGCCTAGGGCAGCTGGTCCTGCAGCCCCGCACTGTCCCACACGTCCAGCTGACGCTCCACTGTGACCTCCACAGAGTTTGTTCTTCCCCAGAAAGTGCTGAGCTCTGAGACGCTGTGACCATGTGGCCCCTGGTTCCTGCTTTTCCAGGCTTCACAGCACAGCTCCAACTGATCGCAAGTCCACTCAGGAGACCCGCGTGAACCGACGCGGCTGGGCTTTTAGAGGGGGAATGAGCTGATTTTAGGTTTTGTCCCTTTGGCTTCCATTAGTTTGTTAGTAGCCATTTATTTACCAGGCGGTAAGCACGCAGGCATCACAAAGCCCCCACTTACAGACAGGACTGAGACGCGAGGACCCAGAAACGAGTCCCGGGGCCTGGCTGGCTCCCCGGCACCAAGGCGTTAAGAAGCAGGCACATCCGGAAATGCAAATGAAACCGCAAGGACATCGCCACTCACGCGCCTGGATCTCTCGGGTTGAAGAGCTCCGCCTCTTCTGGTGCACAGGCGCTTTGGAACCGCGGGCAGTGGCGACAGAGGCTCTCCACCGGGGTCCCGGGTGTGAACCTAGCCGAGATGAGTGCTGACAGAACACGAGCAAGAAGGCCCTCGGCAGCTCCACTCCCAGCAGGACAGCTCTGGAGTGACCCCTGCCCACGGCAGCAGCCGGGAGAGCAGCTGTGCTGGAGCCCGCGCAGAGGGACGGGACAGGTTCACCTGTGCATCCAGGGCTGGGCGCAGGGATGTGTCCTGCCCGTCCGCACACACTGAGCTCTCCTGCACCCAGCTTGCCCGTCCAGAAAAAGTTCACATTCTCAAAGGCCTCACCAAGAAAAGGGAAGGAAACACGTTAGCAAAGAGATGGAAGACAGGCATAAACAAAGACCTGGGAGTTTGAACGCACCAGGAGGCTGAGGAAGGGGCCAGTCCTGGGTTGGGGAGGGGCGTCCAAGATAGACCTCAGCTTGACGCTACTCGTTTGCAGGTTTTAAAAGCATGGATACGTGTATTACTACAATCCTATTAGGTCCATATTTAATTAAAAAGTGCAAAAGGAAGCCAGGTGCAGTGTTGCACACCTGTGATCCCAGCACTCTGAGAGGCTGAGGTAGGAGGATCACAAGTTCTAGCTCACCTGGGCAACTTAGTGATCTAGCAAGATTCTATCACAAAATTTTAAAAAATCAGAATTTAGTAGAGCTAGAAGAATAGCTCAGCCCCATGCACAAGGTCCCAGGTTCCATCCCAAGCACAGAAAAGAAAAAAAATAAATAAAAAGCAGAGACAAGCCCATAGGGATCAAAGAGCACTCCATACACACTAGGCAACTCCCACACCCCTGGGGCCACACACTCGGGCTGCCCACTCCTTGTCCACCCAAGTTCACCGTCATTCAGCTGCAGGTGGACTCTGAGGGCCAGAAGCCCAATGTCACCCTGTTTCCCTGTGGCCTTGTGCAAGACGTGCTGCCTACCTCCCAGGGGAGGGGACAGGTCAGCGCAGCGAGAGGTGGGGACACCTGCCCTCAGGGTGTTCGAGGTAGGGGACCCAGGTGAAAGTGCCAGGTGACTTCACGGGGCACAGGGCCAGCAACGTGAAGACTCAGGGGCCCTCCTTCCAGAATGGCCATGAACTTTAAGATGGTAACAGCAATCCTTAAATGGGGACTAGGGGCTTCTAGCACAGGAGGACCCACATGATGCCCACTCTGTCCCCCTCCGTTTACCAAGGACTTTTGCCAGCACCAGGGTGGCAAGGAAGAGCTCTCCGATGATCTTGGAGCAGCCAGGAAGCTCCTTTTCCAGAACTTTCCGTCCCAAGCCTGCTACTCTGTGGGCTGGTGTTTGCGAGGTGGCCAGGACTGCCCCGACACAAGTGGCGACGCTGATGACCCATCACAGCCTCCAGGAAAGGGCACTCGGTCTGGTGGGCGCTGGCTTGACTGTTGGAGGCATCTGACTTTTGACTTTGCCAGGTCAAGGGTCAGGAGCAGGTTCTGGGCGGGAAACTGAGGCAGAGTGGGTGGCTCACCCCAGGTTGCAAAGCCAGATGACAGAAGCGCTGGGATTCACACTCAAGCCCTCGGGGCTCCAAAGCCCTTGCACTGGCCTGGGAAGGGAGGCAAAGGTGGTGGGAGGCGGGCAGGGCTTGGCTGGGCCTGGCCGCCCTCTGCCCCACTGACTCCCCGCCACACTTGGAGCTGCCGCTCCAGGCTCACGGTCTTTGCCAAGTGCAGGTTTCGCCATCCCCGGTGGGCCGGGGCCTGGGAATCCTCCCGGAGCACAACAGGGCCGGCCAGGCTGGTGAGGCCGGGTTGGAGCACCAGGTAAGGAGCACATGCCAGCATTCCTCCAGCCCAGCTTCAAAGCCTGCCCCTGCCACCCACCTGCTGTGTGACCTCAGGCAAGGCACACCCCACTCTGAACTCCTGGGTCCTTTTTGGTTTTTTCCCTTTGAACCTCCAGCGGCAAAGGCAAAATTGTTTGGTTCTTCACCGTACAACATGTCATCACGATTGCCTGCACAAAGATCCCCTGTGTCTGTCTGTTTATTCCTTCTAATCCCACTCCCTCCTCCCAGCCTCGTCCCCACGCATGATGCATAGCTACAGTGAGGTTTGTTGGTCTCTTTCCACTTCGGTATGGAAGTGTAACATACATGTGCTAGACTACATAAACAGAGCTTACCCAAATGCATAGCCCAGCATGTCCTTAGATATATTCTCATACATGTTTTATGTATGATTTTTATATACTCCTGGAACCACCATCCAGATTTGTCTGCAGCAGCTCAGAAGGAATCCTCAGGCCCTTTTCTAGGCAGGAACTCCTCTCCCCACAGAAGGAACCACAGTTGTGACTTTGAGCCCCTCTGCCTACTTTAGGACTCCATAACAGGGGAGTCATACAAAGTAGGCTGGCTTCTATCACTTGGTAAATTTTTTTTTTTTTTTTTTTTTTGCGGTACTGGGGATTAAACCTCAGACTGAACCACATCTCCAGACCTATTTTTTAAATTTCAAGATAGGTAGGTCTTGAACCTGTGATCCTCCCGCCTCAGTCTCCCAGAGAACTGGGATCACAGGTTTGCGGCACTAGCCCCGGCTAGCACACGCTTTCAAGGTTCATCCACGATCCATAGTGATGAGCCGCACACTCCACAGGATCGCTGACCCCCAGTCCATCGTGTGGCAGAACCAAGATTTATTTATCTCCTCAGCCGCTGAGACACTTAGGTTGTTCCCTGCTTGCGACTATTACAACTAAAACGACTACCAAGGTGCTTACAGAGATGCTGTAGTCCTCGGGTGTGCTCTCATGCGACAGCTCCGACTGGCCCCACAGCTGGAAATGAGGACAATGAAGATCCCACCTCCCGGAACTGTGAGAAGGACCTGAGGCACACCTCAAGGCTTTGCTTTTTGTGGATGTTTCTCAACTCTCTTGGGTAACTGAAGGCCAGGTATGTATTTGTTTGGGTGTAATTTTGAACTGGCAGAAAAATGACAACAGCTACAAGGGGCTGCAGGCGCCCTTCAGCCAGTTAGGGTACAGTTTGCCCCCCTACTTATCCTTTTTCTCTTGCCTGAATTGAGAGTCCATTGCAGATAGGACGTCACTTTGCCCCTTATCCTTCCAGCAGGTATCTCCTGCCCCTCCATCTCTCTCTCTCTCTCTCTCTCTCTCTCTCTCTCACACACACACACACACACACACACACACATGCACACACAGTACTCGTATCAATTCAGGACTCTCACAGATGCATTACTATTATCAAATCCAGGCGCATAGCCACCATCCCACGCCTGCCTGGAGTTCCTGGTCTTTGTGACCTCGCTGCGGTCCTGCTGCATTCGGGCTGTCTCCACCCAAGCCAGCTCCTTCCTCGCACTCATGACCTGGCCACTTTGCGGGTGACAGGCCCGTGTCCTGCAGCAAGTCCGTTGCTCTGGGTCTGTCTGGTGCTTCCTCACAATGAGCTTCGGCTTCCGCATCGCTGTGGGGACAGGGCCGAGGCAGTGCCCGATTCCTGTGTGTCCTGTCTGGTCACCCACGGCCATGCGTTGTGCCACTGCTGGACAATGGGGGCGAGGAAGGACCCCACCCCCACAGAGCTATCCCAAGGGTTAACAAGCCGCAGCCTGAGGCTCGCTTTGTGATTAGGATCTTGGAGGGAGCGCCAGGCACCAGGCAGAAGAAACGCAGGGCTGCCCCGGCCCAGACCTGTCCTATGGCCGGTCCAGGCCTTGTGTCCCAGAACTTACGCCCAGGGAGAGACGTGGAAGGAGAGAAGCCTGGAATTCTAGTCGAACCAGGCCCTGGGCCTGCGGGTGCTGGCTCAGCCGGATCCCCTAGCTGAGCAAGGGTTCCGAGAGAGCCAGGGGGCTTTTGGTTGTCATCTGGGGGATGGGGTGCTGGAACTGGCATCCACTAGGTGGGGACAAGGCTGCTTGTAAAGCCCCGGGCCAGCGAGCAGTCCCACTCCAAATCCCTGTGGTGCTCAGTCAAAATGTCCCAGTCCACTCTGAATTCATGGCCACGGGCAAAGCAAGGGTGAAGAGGACCCCAGCTGTCTTCTGCCACTCACTTTCTACCAGGGCCCAGCTGGCAGCAAAGAAAAGACAGATCACGACCCTCCAGCAGCATCTGGGACTTGAGGACAATGTTCACATTGTACAAAGGGGGCTCTGCCCCCCAAGTCGGGTGGTTTTGTTTGTTGTTTGTTTTCCTGAGTTCACAAGGGTTCAAATCTGCACCACCGTAGGGGGTTTAAGGATGTCACAACTTCCAGGCATGTGGCACAGCCCTGTAATCCCAGCATTCAGGAAACTGAGGCAGGAGGATGACCATGAGTTCAAGGCCAGCCGGTGCTACATAAGCAAGCTCAAGACCAGCCTGCACTACATCGTAAGATCCTATCTCAAAAAAGCCAAAATTTAAAAAAGGAAAAAGGATGTCACAACTTCTGGGGACCTGGGGTGGGGACTCCCGAGTGTGTCACAAGTCCCTCAAAATACAGGTGCACAGGCTCCCAGTGAGCAAGCCTGGGATGATTTGGGCATATACATAAATTAACAATGATGACAGATCACAGCACAGTGGATACAACAGAAGGCCACCCATCCCCGCTGCTGATAAAAATAAATGAGTAATTGAAAGTTTGATGACATTTAAGATATTTACACAGTTGCAAAGCATATCCCCTCAAGCACTGACTAATTGCAAAGGAGGAAAAAACGCCACAAAGGGGAAGCTGGCAGGTAGCTCCTTATGGAGTGGTCCAAGGGCAACCATCGGCAGGGACCAGGAGGAGCACAGCCTCCCTGCTGGGATTTTCCTGCGCAGTCAAACCACAAGGAACTCGGGAGGGCCAAGCCAGTGAGGAGCGCATTACAGAACAGCCCCTGCATCCTGCGAAGCTCCAAGGCAGAAGCTCTGAGGCAGGCTGGGGTGTAGCTCAGCGCAGGGCGCTTGCACATGCAAGGCCCTGGGTCCATCCTCAGCATAGGGGGATGGGGTCCTAGGTCATGAAAGTCAAGGACAGGCCGCAGAACTGGCCCTGCTTAAAGGGGACGGAGGCGATGTGGCAACTAAATGCAACATGTGACTTCCAACCAGCTCCTCTCACTGCAGAGCATGAGGGCGACTGGAGAACCTGACTGGTCTGAGCAGACAGTTGCAATGCGTGGGGTTAGCTTCCCGATGCTGGTGGTTCCACTGGAGTTATGCAGGCAACAGCCTCTTTTGTAAGCAGGATACATCAAAGCACTAAGGGAGGATAAGACAATAGATCAGTCAGTGATTTATCCTCAGATTACTCAGGAAAATATTTATCTTTGTGTGGTATTGGTAACTTTTCTATCAACTTGAGATCTTCCTTGAAAAGATGTTTTGTTGTTGTTGCTGTTGTTGTTTTAAGACAGGATCTCGCTGTGTAGTTCAGACTGACCTTGAACTATGTAGCCCAGGCTGGCCTCGAACTCACGTGCTCTTCCTGCCATACCCTCTAAAGTGCTCGAATTACAGGTGTGCACCTCCACATTCGGCTGAAAACTTTTTTTTTTTTTTTTTTGAGACAGGGTCTTGCTGTGTAGTTCAGGCTGGCCTTGAGTTCACTATGTAGTCCAGGCTGGTCTTGAACTCGTGGTGATCCTCTTGCCTCAGCCTCCCCAGTGGTGGAATTTCAGGTGTGCGCCACCATGCCCGGCTCAAAGGTGGTTTTTTTCAACTCAGGGTTGCGGGTGGGAGACAGGAGACAGAGGTTTGAATGCCATTTGCAGGAATGAAGACAGACGCGGGAGCCAGTGCCGTGACTCAGCACCCTCACCTGGGGCACCCCCGAGTGAGGTGCGGCGTGTGTGTCGGAGGACTTGGCCCTGCTATAAAAGAACAGCTGCGGCATGCGCAACCCCTCGGGCCAATGTGACAGGCACAGCACAGAATCAAAGAAGCCAGACACATGCGGGTCATGGTGGCACACGCCTGTGCAGTGCCAGCACTCAGGAGGCTGAGGCAGGATGATCCCAAATGGAGCCTAGCCTGGGCAACTTAGCAAATTAGTGCGACCCTGTCTCAATCAATCAATCATCAATCAATCAATCAAAAAATAAGGCCCGGGGTGTAGCTCAGTGTGAAGGCCCTGGTTTAATCCCCAGTATCGCAAAAAGATTAGAGATTAGAAAAGCCAGACACGGGGTATCCACTGTGTGATCCCTTTTATTCCCAGCACAGACACACGCAGCACGGATGTTTAACCGTCAGGAGTCAGGAGAACGATCCCTCGAAGGCGGCTGGCAGGATGCGTCCCCTTGACTGGGACATGGTGGGTCAGCGCCAGGAAGTCCCCAGAGCTGACTTCTGTGTGGTGTGACCCCTTGTGTCCTGACACTAAGGAGAGAGGGCGGGAAGCAGCTTTCCGATGCTTTCGGGAAGGACAGACGGCCAGAGACTGAGCCAGGGGAGAAATGGACGCAGAGCAGGGAGCGGGCATGAAGGGCCATCAAACAAGGCGACGCGCGGTTCCTGCAGGGACCTGTGACAGCCTCCTCCAACAACCACACGGCACAGTCAGCCCGCACCTGAGTCCAGGGAGACAGGCGGGAAGGGTCCCTCTGCCTCTGGAGAGGCGCCAAGGTGACAGACAGGGCACCCGGGGGCGGCTGTGACCCCTGGCCCTGTACCCTCTCCTCCGCAGCCCGCTGACCCTGCCCTCCGGGCTCTCTGCGGAGCCTCCCTCCTCCCGGGCCACCTATGTCCTTGCCAGGGCTCCAGAGCTGGCAGGGATCTAGTGACAGCGATAAAAATAAAAGCTCCCCAGTCACTCCCAGCCTCCGACTCACCTCACAGAGGTCTCGCCAGGATGGCCCTGGGCACCCTGGCAAAGGTGCCTCCAGGCCTGGCATTCCGAGGTCTCGGAGGAGCAGGTGGCGGGTGGCGGCGGCATAGGGCAGAGGGGTTATTCGGGGTGGCACAGGGCATCCGGCCTTGGCCCAGTGGCGAACGCACACTGTGAGCTGCAGCAGCGTCGGGCCGTCTCTACTTCCACATTCAGGGGCCCCTCGGTGGGCCACACACAGGGGCTGGGAGGGCAGGACTTCGAACTTAGCAGAGAAGTGTCCATCACTTCCCGGGGCTGGAGCGAGCCTGACCTGACCAATAAACACAGAGCTATTGGGATCACGGGGACAGCCCCGAGGACAGGACCGATCTGTCCCCAGCAGCCTTCATGAGCTTTACTTCTGCAGTAACAGTTCGTTACAGGAACCCTTCCACCTGATGGAAATTCTTCCATAGTAAGAGCTCATCTCTGTGCTCACATGACAGTGCTGGTAGGACCTTCTCCAACAAGGACGCTCTGGGGCATCACTAAGACGTACAAGTCACAAAAACAGCTCATATGAGTGGATTCGATTTTGTCTAACGTCTATCAGTTAGATTCAACTGCCAGGAACAGGAAGCCAAAATGGCAGGGATCTCAATAAGCAGAGATTTATTTTCTCTTGTGTAAATAGGCGCAGAGTAAGACAGGCGAGGACCGGTGTGGCTGTGCTACTGCCATCAAGTGCCTTTTGTCCTTTACTACCATGCATGAAGTGCGTAATTCCTGGGCTTTGGTATTTGCCTCATGGTTCAAGATGAGCCCTGCAGATCTGGTCATCACATCTGAGTTCCAGGCAGGAAGCAGGCAAAGAGAATGTACCTCACAGTTGAGTCAGCCCCTTTAAAGAACTTCCCTGAAAGCCCCACCTACAACTTCTGTCTCGCTCCTTAGTCACTCCTAGCTACAAATGAAGCAGGAAAGTAGTTTCTTCGTAGAAAGAAACTGCCAATAGAGTGGGGGACCTCTTGCCCAGAGAGAAGGAGGGCAGTAAACATGAAAACTCCAGAAGTTAATGACTGCTGTAGACATGAGTCTCCACCATCGCTTTGCATGAACTACCTGTCAGATCTGCACAAAGCACCAAGGAATTTCATTACCTTCCTGTTACAGGTGGGAAAGTGAGGCCTAGCAAGACCAGTTCACTGGCCCACACTGCACAGCCGGGAAGTGGCAGACGGGGGCCTCAGTGCGGCCTCTGGGTCTCACCACCAAGTGGCAGTGATGATGGTGATAATGACAAGGTGAACACGCACGGGGCGGTACTGCTCCCCACACCACCATAGCGTATGGGACGGGGACTGTGATGGTCCCGCTTAAGGAAACGGAGGCCCAGAGAAGTGTGGTAAAGTACCTGAGGCCACACAGCAGGCATTAACAGGGTTAGCTCTGACACTTGAATCGTGGGTGCTTTTGAGTTCCTTCTTTTACTGATATTCTGCATCCTCTGACCTCACCACCAGGACCAGGCATTGCTTAGGAAATCAGTTAAAAGGAAAACACCCTTGCAGCTGGCCAGGGTGGTGCACGCCTGTAATCCCAGCACTTGGGAGGCTGAGGCAGGAAGATTGTTGCAAGTTTGAGACCAGCCTGGGCTACAAAGTGAGCTCAAGACCAGCCTGGACTGCACAGTGAAGCCTTGTCTCAAAAAGACCAAAAAACACCATTGGGATGCAGCCTCCTACCCGATCCCCTCCCCACCACCACCCCCAGGCAGCCTCACCTCTGCACGCCCAGGCTGGTGCCCTCTCCCCTGCTTCCCGGAGAACTCTCCCCCTCTTGGCACCCGGCACCGCTCCACCCGCACCCCCACCGCCTGCCCCTCTTCCTGCTGGCGCAGCTTGCATGGCTCCGGGCCCTGGGTCACAGGCGCTCAGCCGGCTCTCAGGCGCACACAGGCAGCCTCCCTGCACCCTTCACCCACTGCGCTCTGCCTCCTCCCGGGCCGAGGGCCTGTCTGACTCCATCAGCAGACTTATCAAGGACTTTCTGGGTGCCAGGCTCTGGCAGGGCCACCCGCTCACTCATCTTCAAAACAGCCTCTGTCGGCCTTGCCCTGGCCTCGCAGGCCCCGCGCAGAGGCCCTGCTACCCCTCTGTCCTCTCTGTCCCCTCCGCACCTCCCCTGCCACACAGAGCTAGGCCTGTCTCAGGGCCTTTGCACCTGCTACCCCTCTGCCTCTCCCCAGGCATCTTCAACCACTTCCTCCTCAAGGCCATGTCTCAGCCTGCCTGACCCAGGTGCCAACCACCTCTCATACCTGGACAATGGCAGCCGTGGGGCAGGGACGTCCTGGGCCCACAAAGGTCCTTCTGGATACCAGGTGACTGTGTGCACAATTTACAGGTGAGGAAGCCCAGCCCAGAGCAGCCCTGGGCCTTGCCAAGGCCTCCAGCAGGCAAGGAACAGAGCTCAGAGCTCTGCTTTGCTTTTTTCCCAGGCATCTAACCCCTCAGAGGGTGCTGATCTGTCTGCCCACCGCACAGGAGCTGGACACACACGGACCTGGATTGAAACCCCAGCTTTTCTGCGCTCTGAGCAAGGGATATCCCACACAGAGCCTCAGTCTCCCCACCATGGTAACACAGAACCCTGCCTTTCTGCCCCAGAGGACGCACCAGGCCCCAGAAAGCCTTGTCCCCTGGCCCACCATGGCCTCCACGGTCTCCCAGCCCACGCCTCTGTCACCACCCTGCTCGCAGCCAACAGCCTAGGGCACCAACCAAAACCCTACAGGAGGGGCGGTTGACCCGCTGGTGGGCTGGGGGTATGGCTTGGAGTCATCCAGGTCAGCCAGGCCCAGAAAGAACCAGGGTGGGGACAGAGGAACCAGGAATAAAGCCAGCAAGAGGCCACAGCAGGGGCCAGGGAATGAAGGGTCTCAGGTTCCAGCGCAACTGGGGATTCAAAGCCACTTGGGACAGTGACTGCACCTCCGTGCCTCAGTGTCCCCACCTGGAAGATGATAAAGAGCCCCCGTGTTACTGGTGCTTACAAGAAGAGGAGGTGCATCACGCACAGCCCTGCAAGTGGTGCTGTGGCCTCACCTGGTTCGGGCAGAGGCGCCACCACCCAGGACGGTCTTTGAGGACCTCCCCACCCCTCCCTGCCCCACTGTTCTTCCTGCAGAGCCCTTGTCCCCACCTGTCATTATCTTGTTCCAGCTGCTGAATACTGAGTGTTTGTCTCTCCTTATAAATTGTCACCTTCATCTTGGCCACCATTTGTCCCCAGCGCCTAGTAAAGAGGCTGGCACACAGCAGGTGCTCAATAAACGCTTGTCAAATAAACGAAAAATAATGAGGCAAATAAATGTCCAGGAGATGAAGACAAAACCACCTCAACAAGTCCGAGCAGGAGCTGGGGAGGAAGGAACCTCCCCGGGTGTGTGGAGGGAACAGCTCCCCTGCCCGCCCCTCTGCCAGCCCCAGCTCCTCGCAGCTGTGTGACGGACCGTCGAGGTCACTCCCCTCTTGGAGCCTATCTGCTTCCAAGGAAAACGCCAAGTGCAGGAGCTGTGGCCCCGGGGATGGGCCCGCACGGGGCCCAGCAGCCCGCAGGCTCCTGGCTGTCACTGTGAAACCCACTTTCCTCTGCATAAGATCCTGAGGTGGGAAGGGCTTTGGTCAAGAGCCCCGTCATGAGTAGAAAGGACAGGGTCCCAGGCTCCCCAGCTCCCTGCCAGCCTCAGGGGCCAACACGGCCTGTCTGACAGGACAGACCTCAGGGCGCTGCTGTGCCCCCAGCAGGGGTTTGGCTCTCACAACCCCACCCCACCCCCGTACCTGGGCCCCTTCCTGCGCTCTCCCTCCACCCTGCTCTTTCTTCAGGACTGTTGAGGGGCTGCTCCCTCCTCCCTGCAAGCCCTCACCTTTGGGCCTGGTGACCCATGGGGTGGGTGTCAATCCCCTGTGACATCTCCCAAGGCCTCTGGCACCATCCCATCCACAGCGCTCGTCCCACAAGCTGCTTCTCCGGCTCTCCCGGGGATCGTCAGAGGGGCTCTGGTTCAGGTTCCCTTTCTGCTGCCTCCAAACTGAGACCACACACAGGTCATGTCACTGTGCAGCTTGGGGTCCCTGAATGTGAGGCCAGGCAGGGAGCCCCTCACAAGGGCCAGGATTGGGATGGGGTGAAGTGTCCACACAGCCTCAAGGTCCCAAACTCTCCCCAGAGACTGGGAATCAGATGGAATCCCCATTCCACCTTGAACACAAACCTTAAATTACAACACCAGGCCTTTTCACTTTGAGACAGTGTCTTCCTAAGTTACCCAGGCTGGGCAGGAACTTGCAATCCTCCCGCCTCAGCCTCTTGAGTCGCGAGGATCACAGCTGTGCACCACGCCTGACTCAATCCTCACCTCACTAACTGGGAAGCGGGTGGGACGGTTCCACCACACGCTCACGTGGATTAGAACAAGACGGAGTGTGTGTAAAGCTCCCAAGAGCCCCGCTGCCCGGGAGAAGGGTGCTGAGGAGAGCGCCAGGCTCCTGCTCCCCGCTCACCTGCTGGGTCCTCTGCAGGTAGCCACAGCCCCCAGGCAGCTCTCAGTGACAAGGCGGGGGAGCAGCAATGGGGAGACCCTCTTCCCACTGGCCGTGGAAAAACTGTGCCACCTCCTTGGCAGGCCCAGTGTTGGCACTGATGGAGCCGCTGGGGCATGGGACTGACTGGCCTGGCCTCCAGGGGCCACACAGCCCGTGTCCTTCACCCAGGGCTAAGAGACTTGGTCAGGGTGGCAGGTCAGGTCCAGGCTGAAGTGGAGTTGTCTGTGTCCAGCGGTCCTCATGCCACCAACGCCCGATGCTGGCATTAGAGACGGAGTCCGTTTCAGTCCTCACAGTGAGGCCAAGGGTCATCCTCTGTCCCCCACACTCCAGGCTCTCCCAGGGACAGCATCTGTACACCCCAGAGGGAAAGCGGGGGAATGCACTCCCCACTCTCAAACCAGAGGTCAGCAGCTTTTCCTGAGACCTCAGGTGGCCCAGGCCCCGGGCCAGCGGATCCTCAGGCCCACCGCTCGCCAGCTCCTCGGGGCAGGGAGACTCGGAACCCGTTCCTTGACCATAGGCACCTGATGGCCAAAACTGCCCCTCGGCTCTAAACACAGGGGTCCTAGGGCACCCACCTTTCCGAAGGCTGCTGTGAGGCTGCGGTGGGATGGGGCAGGTCTCTGGCAAGTGCCTGACACACTCACACTGCGCTGAAGACCTGAGTGCCGAATGCCAGGAGCCTCCCAGCAAAAAATAATAACAAGCGCAAACGCTTATATAACACCTCTGGCGTGCCAGGCACCGGAGGACGCCGACGCATATCCACTAACCCCTCGGTCGACATCCTCAGCTCTCAGGAATGCCGGCCAGGGCTCAGCAGGCTGCGGGGGCAGCAAGGAGGGGCAGGACGGGCAGAGGGATCAGGGCCCAGGGATCAGGGATAAAGGATGGCCCAGCCCAGGGATCAGGGATGAGAGAAGGCCCCAGGTTCAAGGCCGCGCTCAGGCACCCCAAACACGCAGGTGAGGCTGGGCCTCAGTGTCCACTTCTGAGCAGAGAGGACGAGTGGGCAGTGCCCTGTCCCCATGGAAGGGGTGTAAGTCAGTGCAGAACCCTTCCCCCACCTTCCCCCACCTGGCCCAGTCTCTCCTCCCACTGGACAGGGATACACAGACAGACTCGCTGACAGGCGCAGCCAGGTTCCCCTCCTAATATACACATGCACGCGCGTGCGCAGACACACACAAAGTACACACGGGCACTCAAAGTACACAAGGTACACACACAAACTACTTTCTAGCAGCCCACCCCACTACACTTACCAAACAACCTGCCCTGACTCGGGCCAAACAGGGCCAAGTCATGAGTCCCCTCCTCCTACCGTCACAGGCCTGCCTGTCCCCAAACAGTGCAGCGGGCACAGACTTCCTGGTCCCTCCAAACCCGAGCCTGACACTTAGGACCAACCCCTGTCCCCAAGCAGAGCTCCCACTGCACAGCACCCAGGGGTGCTGAGTCACCCTGAAAGCCTGACCCAGCACTCTGCACCTCTTCCCCCCGAAGCTGGGGCCTCCATCTGCCAGCAGACCCTGAGGGGAGCAGCAGGGAGGAGAGGAGCCAGCTGTGACACCCCCACCCCGCCACCAAAACAGCCCAAAAATAACAGCAGCCCCCTCACACACAACCCCTACACACCAGAAACGCAAAACAAAACCCTATCCATCCAAAGGAAAGAAAAAAAATCAAAAGCCAACTACTGCCCCCAAAAGGCTTTTTAACCGTCCTCAAAAAAAGTTTATTAAAAGTGTTCTTACTTAAAGCTTGAAACGGAGATTCCCAAAATATACAGACGCCTCTTTTCTCATAGAAATAGATTTTTTTTTATAATACAAAAAAAGGACCAAAAAAAAAAAATAATAATAACAACAACAACAGCAACCCCGTAGGAACATCTTTAAGCGATTACTCAGGGCCCGGCTGACAGTTACACGTGGGTTGCGTCAGTCCCGTCTACACACGCGTTCAGCCATGTTTAAACCGATTGCATCAACTTCGAAACCGGCCCGCCCGCCGGCACCGGAGAGGCCGAGTTCAGAGTCATCCGGACACACAGGCGCTGCTGCTTTAAATAACACCACGGACGGGCGCGCCAGCTGCACGTGCGGCCGGTCTGGACAAAAATATAGAAATATATATAATAAAATATTAAGATTACCAACGGGCTCCCCGCGCTGCCAGGCGCCCCGGTGCCAAGTTCTGCCGGCAGCGCGGAGGCCGGCCGGCAGGGGGGCGCGCGCGGGGGCCGCGCTAGCAGTGGCCGGAGGAGGCGAGCAGGGGCTCGGGCAGCTGCTTGAACAAGTTCCGCAGGGTGCTGAGCTCGCGCGACAGCTGCTCCACCTTCTTCTGCAGCCGCTCGTTCTCGGCCGTGAGCTCCAGGACTTTGTGCTGCGTCTCCAGGTTGCGCATCTTGGCCTTGTCGCGGCTCTTGCGCACGGCGATGTTGTTGCGCTCGCGCCGGATCTTGTACTCGTCGCTGTGCTTGTCCACCGTCTTCTTGGCCTTGCTCTTGACCTGCGCGGGCGCCGGCGCGGCCCCCGGGTAGCAGGCGGCCGGGGGCGCTTTGGCGTCG